GCCCTTGCCTGTGGCACGGAGGCAAATCCCATCCTGTCCTTGTCCTTCCTCCCCCAGAGCAGGAGCTGAGCATGGAGAGCAGGGAGGACAAATGCCCGCGGCAGAATCTGGTGGCAGAGGCCGTTTTGAGTGGCTCCACGGCACAGGAAGCCAACGGGGAGGAAAAGCCCCGGAGATGCCGCACGAGGAGGGGCTGCAAACGCAGCCGGCGGGGATCTGAGGGGGAAAGAGCCAGCCTGGGCCGGGAAGGCGGCCGGAGATCGAGGCAGAGCTCGGAGCTGGTGCTCCATGAGCAGCTCCATGATGGGGAGAAGTCCCACACGTGCGTGGAGTGTGGGAAGATCTTCAGGTGGAACTGCCACCTGATTGAACACCAGAGGATCCACACTGGGGAACGGCCCTACGAGTGTGGGGAGTGTGGGAAGAGTTTCAGCGTGAGCTCCAGCCTGATGAAGCACCAGAGGATCCACACCGGGGAGAGGCCCTACGAGTGTTCCAAGTGTGGGAAGAGGTTTACGACCAGCTCCCATCTGCTCCAGCACTATCGTATTCACAGAGAGGAGAGGCCCTTCCAATGCCCCGACTGCGGGAAGGGATTCAAGCGCAACTGCACCCTCGTCACCCACCGGCGCATCCACACTGGGGAGAGGCCCTACGAGTGTGATAAATGCAGGAAGATGTTTCAGACCAGCTCCCATCTCCTCCGGCACTATTGGATTCACAGAGAGGAGAGGCCCTTCCAGTGCCCCGACTGCAGGAAGGGATTCAAGGACAACTCCAACCTCATCAGGCACCGGCGCATGCACACTGGGGAGAGGCTCTACGAGTGTCCCCAGTGTGGGAAGAGCTTCTTACAGAGCTCTGACTTGACCCAACACCAACAGAGGCACCACTAAGGGATGCCCTGCGAGTGCCCCGAGTGCGGGCAGAGCTTCGTGCGCTGCTCCAGCTCCATCCCCCACTGGAGGAGGCACTTTGGGCACAGCCCTGGTCACTCACATTCCCTGTGATCCATGTTGGGAGCACACCTGGCTGCTTCTACTTTTTGTTTGGCCTTAATTTTCCTCTACTTCATCTTCATCCTTTAAAAACACCCAAAACTGGGTTAAATGAAGGAAATCGATTGAATATATCTGAGTTCCATAATTTCTCAGTTGTTTTAGAGGGAATTTAGGATTTGGGGACAGGTTCTGTGTGGGGTGCTGCTGTTGCTATGAGGAAGGAATTTAATGTCACCCTTCTTGTGTTACTAAGAACTCCTCCCCTGACCCCAACCCCAACTCCACCCTTGGGATACCCTATAAAAACTCCACTTCCTGTGCCCTGTCTTTGGGTGGTAAGAAATGGATTCCCAAAGGATCAGCCCTATTCCTACTGGATTCCAAAGGATCACCATCATTTTTCACTGAATTCCTCGAGGATCAAGCTTTTCCCACTGGATTCTAAGAGGATCAGCTCTTTTCCACTGGATTCCCAGGGGATCAGCCCTTTTCCCACTGGATTCCAAAGGATCAACCTTTTTCACTGGATTCCAAGAGGATTCTGACTCTGTCACTGTTGTTTTTTTGTTTGTACTACTGCGTTTGTATTTTTAGTTTTTCCGAAGAAGGAACTGTTATTTCTACTCCCATATCTTTTCCTGAGAGCCCTTTAATTTCAAATTATTTTTATTATTATTATTAATATTAGTAGTAGTAGTAGTAGTAGTAATCAAAGAATGGGCCATATAAAATAGTTCATGAAATATGTAAATGAGTTTATTGTTATGCATGAGGGTCTATGAATCTGCAACAGGCTGATGTAATCAAGCCAGAATAATTGAGGGGTGTCCCCGAAAATAACTGGGGCGTCTTGGTGGCCATAACAACCTTTGCTCGATGGTCCTTGTCTCGCATGACATCAGCCTGTTGCATATTCATAGACTCTTTGCATATCCATAAACTCATTTACATATCCTTGGAACAAAATTGGCTTCCTCCTGTTTGGGGTCCCACCCCCATCCCAGCTCAATTTGGGGTGTCCCATCCCTCTCCCAGCTCAGTTCTGGGATCCCATTCCCCTCCCAGCTTAATTTGGCGGTCCCATTCCCCTCCCACCTCAATTTGGGGGTCCCATCCCCTCCCAGCTCAATTTTGGGGTCCCAACCCTCTTTTCCCCACTCTCCCTCCCCTTTCCGATCGTTCCCCCAATCCCCTCCTCCGTGTTTGGTTTTGGGGGCTCCAGGCCCCTCCTGCCCTGTTTTGGGGTCCCGACCCCGTTTTGGATTAATTTGGAGTCCCCAGCCCATCCCCAGGGTCATCTTCCCCCCCCACCCCTCCCACCAAATCCGCTCCTGGCAATTGATGAGTCATCAGCAAGACACGCTCTGATTGGCTGGAAATTACCCTGCGCGGTCTCTGAGTATTTACCGCAGTGAGAGGCCTTGGTCTGTGCCCGGCAAGTGATGAGTCAGAGTCAGGCCGGGCGCTGATTGGCTGAAAATCGCTGGGCGGGGCTCGTGCTCTGAGTTTCTGCCCAGCAAGTGGAGCGTCATCAGTGCGGCGCGTTCTGATTGGTCGGGATCTGTTTTGGGGTGGGGACGTGAGGAACTGGGGATTCTTGGGGTTTATTTGCGTTTATTTAGGGTTTGTTTGGGGTTTCTTTGGGGTTATTGATGGACTATGTTGGGTTTATCTTGGGTTTTACTGGGTTTATTTCTTGTTTATTTGGGGTTATTTGGAATTGTTTGAGTTTATTTGGAAGTATTAGTGTTTGTTTGGGCTTATTTAGGTTTATGTGGGTTTTTTTGGAAGTATTTGGGGTTCTTGGGGTTAATGTGTGTGTATATGGGTTTTTTTTCGGTGTGCTTGATATCATTAGGGGTTTTTTGGCTTTAACTTGGTGGAGGGGTTTTTTTCGTTTTTTGGGGTTATTTGGGGGATTTCTAGGTATTGTTTGGGGTTCTTTGTGGTTATTGGGGGTTTTTTCCAAGTGTTTTTGGGTTATTTGAGTTATTTGGGGTCACGTAGGGTCAAAAGCTCCAGGAATGTTTCTCCTGCAAAAATCGGGAATTTTTCCTTAAAAATCTGAGAGTTTCCCCCCAAAAGTCCGGGAATGTTCCCTTAAAAATCCCAGACTTTTCCCAACCAGTAGTTGCGCGCCCGGCCCCAAACCATCCAATCACCGCAGGTCTCCCCTCAGGAACACCAGCCTCTCTGTGCACCGATCCACCCAATCACTGCATGCCTCCCCTCAGACACGCCCACCTCTCACACCGAACAATCCAATCACCGCGTTTCTCCTCTCAGCTACTCTCGCCTCTCCTGAACCGACCAATCACCGGGCGTCTTCCCTCAGCACCTCCCATCTTCTTTGCCTTTATCCAACCAATCACCGCGTGCCTCCCCTCGGCAAAGCCCGCCTCCCTCGCCCATCTCCTGTCAATCACCGCACCCTCTACGAAACCAACCAATCACTGGCCAACTCCCCATAGCAACTCCCGCCCTCCCCACGTGTACCAGCCAATCAGAACCGAGCCCGAAGCAGCACCCCCTGACCCCGGGGCCGGGCATGGAGCGGCGCTCCCTCCCTCTGCCCCGCCCCCCGGGACCCCCTCAGGGACCCCCGGGAGCCGCCCCGGGCTCGGGCGGGTCCTGCGGGAGGCGCTGGAGAGAGCGGGGGAGGCGCTGGGAGAGGACGGGGGGCTCCGGGAGCTGCTGAGGAGGCGCAGGGACAGGTGAGGGGTCCTGGAGGGGTCGTGAGGGGAATTTGGGGAGGGGTCTTGAGGAGATTTGGAGAGGGTCTGGGGGGAACTTAAGGGGGTTTTAGCGGGGTCTGGGGGTGTTGGGGATGCTTTGGGGAGAAATTTGGGGAGGGGTCCTCGGGGGGTGTCACAATCCGTCCTCATGGACGGGTTTCGTGATGGTTCGTGGATTTGATCTCAGGGTGCAAAAAGAACCGACCCAGTACAAGGGGGTTTGCAATGATAATCGAAACAAATGCACCTTTATTGAATGACCACAGCAAAATGCAATAAAGGGATTAAGGGAGAGAAAAAGATAGAGGAAGAGAGAGACAAAAGAGAGAAAGAGAAAGAGGGGATAGAGCTACCGTTGAGATGAAGTCCTTTGGTCCAGTCCAGTCGAGCATCTTCCTGTTACGTCTGGGAGATCTCAAAGTCTCTCGCTAACTCAGAGATTTTTATTATGATAACTCTATTGGAAATTGCAAGGGAGGGAAACAGACACAATAAGGAATAGATGTAACAGGTAGTCCATGCTCTCAGCAGTAAGCGAGAGCCATTGTCTTCTTGGTCCAGCGGTCACAACCTGCAGGCAAACATCTCGCTTTGGTCAGCTTGCCTCCCCCACACACCTGCCACGCGCTGGGGGTTTCAGTCCCAGTCCTTGGAAGGAGTAGAGGGGCCTTTTCACATGAGGGTTCCATGTCTCAGTTCTTGATGGAGAGGCTCCTTCCATCTCAGTCTGTCTGTCACGGTGGTTGTAAAACAGGTGAGGGTCTTCTGTGGGGGGACCATGTGAAACTCAGGAGAAGTCCAGCCAGGCCGAGAGGTGGGACAGCTCCCAAGGCTGTTGTTGCACAAAGAGCACAGTGTCCCCTTCTTAGCATACAGCAAACAACAGCTGTGAAAACAATGGCTTAGCACTGAGTTCTGGTCTCGGGGCCTTGTGGCATGTGACTTTCTCCTACAGAGAAGGCAGGGAGGGTCTTCTCTTCACTGGTCCCCAATGAGGATTATGAGGCAGATGAGTAAAAATTTGGACAAACTCTCACAATCCTCCACCCTTTGTCCCCCTCCCTTTTTCCAGATCCGTCCACATCGCCCCCCGGGCCCAATTGGGAAGCTTTACTGGGAGCACTGGGAGCAGGCACTGGGCGGGGGCAGAGGGCCAGCGGGGCTGGGGGGACACGGGACCCCCCCAAAGTCAGCAGAGCGGGGACGGAGCGGGGGGTCCCGGCTGGGCCCGCGCCCACGGGGAGGGGCTGCGGCCACCGCCGGCTTAGGAGCTCTGTGGGCAGAGAAAAGGGGGTGACACCGGGCTGGGGGCCCCGGCGGGAGCGCACACGCTCCGCCACGGCGGGGACGCCACCCCCGGCACCCGCCCTGACCCTCTTGCGCAGGGAGAAGCCGAGCCCCAGCGCCAGGAAGACGAAGCCCAAGACGAAGCCCCCGATGCCCGTCAGCATCTTGCTGCGGGCGGCGTCCGGCGGCATCTCTGGGGGATCCGCAGGGCTCAGCACCCCCAAAACCTCTCACTGACACCCCGAGCCCCTCCCAGCGCCCTCCCTGTGGCCCCCAGCCCAGCCAGGAACCACTGAAACCTCCCCCCGATCCCTTTTTGTCCTGGCCAGGAGCCACCAAAGCCCCTCCCGTCCCTCTCAGCATCCCACAGCCCCCTCCCAGTTGCCCCCAGCGCCCCAGGACCCCCAAAGCCTCTTGCAGTCCCTTGGCATCCCCAGCAGGACTCAGCCAGAGCCTTCCCAGGCTGTGCCCAGCACAACCGAGCTCATGGCGAGCCCCTCTTTGCCATCGCCGATCCTCTTCCAGCCCCTCCGGGCTCCCTGCGATCCCTCCCAGTCATACCCAGCGCCCCCAAACTCCCTCCCAGTGACACCCAGCACTCCCAAACTCCCTCCCAGTGCCCACCAGGACCCCCCAAACCCATTCCACCCTCCTCAGCATCCCCCAAACCCCTTCCCAGCCCTTGCCCAGCCCCCAGCTCCTCTCCCAGTTGCAGCCCGGCTCTCTCCAGCTCCCTTCCAGTGGCTCCCAGCACAGCCCAGTGGCTCTGCCAGCGCCCCCAGGGGCTCCCCCGTACCCCAGTGCCGCCTCAGGGGCTGCTCCAGGCTGACGTGCTCCACCTGGCAGCTGTAGCTGACCCCGTGCCGGGGCGGCGTTTCCAGCAGCAGCAGCAGCTGGTAGGTCCAGTCCCCGTTGGGGACCACGTCGGTGGCCACCACGTGCTCCGAGAGCTCCTGCTGGTCCCTGGAACCACCTCACCTGGATGGCAGCAGGGTAGAAATCCATCACGGAACAGAGCAGGTGGCCGGGGCCGGGCTGGGAGCTCGAGGGGGGAACCAGCGAGATGGACACGCTGGGGGACACTGGGAGAGAGAGCGGGGACACAGTGGGATCAGCTGGGGGGCACTGGGAGAGAGAGGGGAGGGCTGGGGTGGGCTGGAGAGGGACTGGGAACGCACTGAAATGGACTCGGAGTGACAGGGAATGGATTGGGGAATGTGGTGGGAGGGACTGGGAATGGGCTCGGATGGATTGGGAATGTGCTGGAAGGGAGTGGGAGAGACTGGGAGGGAGTTGGGTGACACAGAGAGATGGGAAGGAATGGGGGAACTGGGAGAGAGGGTGGAGGTCTAAGAGTGAACTGTGAATGAACTGGGAAGAGACTGGGAATGGACTGGGAGAGACTGGGGAGGAACTGGGCATGGTCTTGGAGGGACTGGAATGGCACTGGGAGGGATCTTGGTGGCACTGGGAGGAACTGGGAATGAAGTGCGCGCCACTGGGAGGTCGAGTCCGGCGCGAGGCACTCCGTGCTGCGGGTCTGCCTGGCAACAGATGAGTCATGAACACGATGCGATCTCATTGGTTGTCAAGCGTGAAATTTACGGGTCGCTGAAATGGACGCGCGGGGGGGCACTGGGAGGGACTGGGAGGATCTGGAGACCCCGGGGGTCGGCACAAGGAGGGCTGAGGGCTCTGGGCCGATGCCCAGGGAGATTTTGAGGGGCTCCAGGGTCACTGGCAGGTCAGGCCCCGAGGGGACACTCTCTGCCTCGCGCTCACCTCGGCGCTCCGTGATGAACGCTCCGTGATGAACGGGGTAAAATTCTTGTACCAGCACCGGCAGAACCAGTCCACCGCAGTCCGTCTATCCTCCATGAATACCGCGTTGCTGTTCCAGCGCTTGGCCAACTTCTCCCCATAGCGGGTGAACCCCACAAAGTGCCCCACGTCGCTGTCGAACATTATGAACTGATCCCGGTTGTAGATGGATCTCTGGACGTACCTCACCTTCTCCGTGCCGTTAATGAAGTAACACTCGGACTTTGTCATCCTTTGGGACACCCCTGTGTGTGCAGAACATAGATCGGGGGGTGCCTCTCCAACACCCTCCCCCAGCACCCCCAGAGCTCCGGGGCCACAACGGATCCCCACTCCGCACCCCCTGTGCCCCTCGGCCGCCATTGGACCCTCCTGCCCGAGCTGCCGCTTCCTCTTTGCCGCCCTTCTCCCATTTTCCCTTCCACATCCTCTCCCCTCCCACCTCCGGCCGCTCCCCAAATCACTTTGGGGTGCCACTTCTCCATTTTCCCACAAATTCCCCAATCCCCAGTCCCCATTGCGATCAGTTTTGAGGTCCCCCCCTCCGCTTTTGCCCTCTTCCCCACCCTCTCCCACCCCTCCCCTCCCGCTGTCCCTTTGGGGGGTCCCCTCCTCCTCCCCCTCCATTCCGAGCTCCCCCCTTCGCCCCTTTTCCCCCTTCTCCCCGCTGTCCCAGCGCCTCCCGCCCCCCGCTCACCCGAGACCTCCGCCCCCGCAGCCGGGGGGGCTCCCAGCACCACCAGTACCGCCAGTAGGACCCCAGCTGCTGCCCCTCGCCCTATGGCCGGGGCCGGGCAGGGAGCAGCAGCCCCAAAGCAGCCGCGCTGCGCTGGGAGCGCCAGTCCGGAGCAGGGCGGGCTCGGCAGCGCCGCGCGCTCTCATTGGCTGCCGCCGCTTCTGGGCAGCGATCGGCCACGGGCTCTGCCCGGCAACCGATGAGGCAATCCAACGCCCCGAGCTCTCATTGGCTAAGACGCCGCCTGCCTGCGCCGCCATTGGCTGAGGCCTTTCCGGGACGCTGCAGCCCCGGGCTGGGGGTTTTTTGGGGAGGGGGAACCTTGGGGCGCTGGGCAGGTGGGAGCTCAGGTGAGCCCAGCAATGCGTGCCCAGGTGCGCGGCATCTCAGGGCTGCCCGTGGCGAGCGGTGACGCTGGCCCGATGCCAGGCACCCCCAGAGCCGCTCTGTCCCTGCCCCCCGCAGCCACACAGGGACAGAAAATGGAACTGAGGGTTCCTGCGTGGGGACAAGGACCGGGAGACATCCCTCAGCAAATCCCGCACGGGCACAACAGACATGGCCTGGACACACGGAGGGAATTTATTACCAACCAAATCACAGCAGCACAAGGAGAAGGGAAAGAAATCTCTCCAACACCTTCCTCCTGCCAAACACGGATCACCCAGAACAGGGGTCACCAGGGCTCTGCCCAACGGGGGTCACTGGGGATCATCCAGGGGAGATTCTCCCATGGGGGATGGAGCTGGAGCAGCGCACGAATCTCTTCCCACACTCGGGACACTCGCAGGGCCTCTCCCTGGTGTGGAAGTGCTGGTGAGTGACAATCTCTGAATCCCACCTGAAGCTCTTCTGACATTCCAAGCACTCCTAGGGCCATTCCCCAGAGTGGATCTTGTGGTGCTTGCTGAGGTCGGAGGTCCCACTGAAGCTCTTCCCACATTCCCCACACTCCCAGGGCCTCTCCCCAGTGTGGGTGTTCAGGTGTTCCATCAGGGTGGAGCTGGAGCTGAAACCCTTCCCACATTCCAAGCACTTGTGGGGCTTCTCCCTGCCATGAGGCTTCTCCACCAGCTCTGAGCTCTGGCTGCATCTCTGGCCGCCTTCCTGGCTCAGGGGGGCTCTTTCCTCCTCACCCCTCCCTGGGCTGGGTTTGCAGCCCCTCCTTGTGAGGGATCTCTGGGGCTTTTCCTCCTCCTCCATCTGGCCACAGCTTGGGAATGACAAACCCTGGTTTGGGGGAAAACAAGGTGGGAGCGCCATGGAGTAGAGGCTCCTCCTGGCCAGGTCCATCTCTGGAACTCAGCAGGAGTCTTGTGTCCATGAAAATCTCCACACATCAAGATTTAGCCCAAAAAAACTGTCCCAGGAGTTCCCTACTGCTGATCTCTCCACTTCTGGGGTTCCAGAAGTTTCCTTTCCTTGGGATCACAGGGGTCCAATGGTTCCAGGGGTTCTTCATTCTCCGGCGTCCTGCTTAGGGATGATCCAGGGGCTTTTGGGGGTCCATGGGGTCCCTTCTCCCCTGATGCTCTGCTTTGAGGTCCCAGGGATCCCAGGGGTCCCTCCTCCCCAGGCTCCCCCCCTTTCCAGTCTGCCGGGGTCCCCCAGCTCTGAGATCACCCCTCTCTGGTTCTCTCCATTCTGGGGGTCCCAGGGGTTCCCCTCCTCTTCTCTCCCGGGGGTCCCCAGGACCAATGTCCTCCCCTGCCCATACGGGGCAATGGCCACGTGGACCCCCAAAGATCCCCCCAAGGGGCTCAGCTTTGGGGTCCTGCAAGATCCAAACCTACACACACAGAGAAAAAAACCTCCCAGAGACACCAGATGATATTTGGGGTCAATTTCACAATCTGCGAGCTCCAAACACACCCCAGTAAAAAACCCTCTCAGGGAACCCCCTGATGGATTTGGGACGAGCTCCCCCCCCCCCCCCCCCCCCGCTCACCTGCAGGATGAGCTGGGGGCGATTGTCCCGCGGGTGCGGCCACAGGGGGCACTGGAACCTCCTGTTCCTCCTGTTCCTGCTCCTGCTCCTCTTCCTGCTCCTCCTTTTCCTCTCTCCCTCCTCCTCCTCCTCCTTCCTAATCTCACCTCCTCCCCAGTTCCTGCTTTCTGTGTATTTAGAGTGGGGAACCTTGCTCGTTTTTAAAACTAGAACAAAGATCCCAGAGGGAACAAGGCTTGCTGCTTTTAGTCAGAACTATCAGTGACTAAAGGTCATGTTTCCTTTGGTTTGGTGCGTCCTTCTTCCTCCTCAGTGCTCAGGCTGGGCTGTGGGGTGTCCTTGTTTGATGCATTTTCCGAGTTCCTCTTGCACTCTTTGGGCCATAGGCTGTGCCCTGGGAGGGTTCTTTGTGCTCCTTTGTGACACAGGAGAACCTTCCAGGCGGTTTCTGCTTGAGCTGCTGCTGGGATGTCACAGGAACAGCGCCACGTCCCCGTGGTGTTCCCGTTGCTGTGGGACACCGAGGTCTCAGTGCCCAGAGTGGCTCTGGGCTCGTTGCCGGAGGATCCTCCTGCCTGAGGCATTCTCAGCAGCCAGCCCAGAAGCTGTCCTTCTCTGCTTGCAGGTGTTATATTTGCCCAATAATCCCATCATAAAAAAAACCCAAACAATATTTAAGGTAGCAGCAATTTTAATTAAATAGTTTAGAAAATATATAAATAAGGGATAATATGGTTCAAATAATAGCGCATAAGCTAAAACAACCGCGGGGTACGGATGGCAGGGTTCAATGACCCTTGCCACTTCACGTACAATCTTGCCAAGTGAAAGTCGCCCCTTATATGCCATGTGTCAATGCCATCTCCTCCTATTTTTGGTTCGTCACTTTTCTGTCTCCGCCCTCCTCACCACCTTTACCACGCATGCGCCACCACTCGGTTTGGTGGTCGCACAAGTCTTTGGGGGTCGTCACTGATGAAGGCCATATAGTCTTCTTCATTGTCCTTTAATTCACCTTTGGGTTACACATGTGCACCAAGCCAGGATAATGCAAGCCAAAACTAAGATATTACTATATTTTAGCATCAAAGCAATAAATCTCTTATAGCGGGCATTTTCCTGGGACCCAACCAGATTTTCACTTCTCTCTGTTAATTTTTAGTAACTGTTCTCTCTTGTTTTTCCTCCTCTCCTTGAACATCTGCCAGGAGAGGGGGGTAGAGCCCCTCCTCTCCCTTTCTTCTTTGGCATTACAACTTTTATCTGTTTTATAATTTCCAAATATTAATTACTGTATCAATATTGATGACTGTTTCAATTTTATCAGCATGAATCACACCTATTTACCACATTGTTCTCTCTCAGTGTCTGCAGGGCCTGCATTTCCTCCATTCCAAGCGGGTGATCCACAGGGATCTGAAGAGCTCCAACATCTTCCTGGGCATGGACAGCTCTGTCAGGCTGGGTGGGTGTTCCTGGCCAGGCACGGCGCTCCCGGGCTGCGGGTGTGGGGCTGCTTCCCAGGGAGGGCCAGAGCCCCACAAGGGCTGCTGGGGGCACTGCCCGGCCCCTGCTGCCAGCTGAGAGCGGCTGCCCCTGCAGAGAGCTCAGCAGAGGAGCAGGGTGCCAACAGTGCCTTTGCTCTGCCTATGGCCCTGCCAGAGGGGCAGCAGTGGGAATCTAAAGCTCCAAGGGAATCAGTAAAAGCCACTGCATGAAAGCTGAGGGTTTCTTGAAGAGTCCAGTTCCATCTTTCCTTGGCTACAGCCCTGAGGGTTTTCCAGCTGACTTCACTACTACACTCTCAGACTGAGAGTGGGGAATCTTGGTGCTTGGTTTCCTCATTCCAGCTGCCTTTGACAGGGTTTGTTTCTGTCCTCAGCTGATTTTGGCCTCTGCGCTCAGCTCAGCCCTGAGCAGGACCAGCGCAGCTCCATGGTGGGCACTGCTCACTGGATGGCCCCAGAAGTTGTGACCAGATCTCCTTATGGCCCCAAGGTGGACATCTGGGCCTTTGGCACTCTGACCATCGGGATGGTGGAAGGAGAACCTCCTTACTTCAGGGAAACGGCGGCTATGGTAAGAGGCAAATTCTGCAGGGGCTGCAGAGGCCTGTGAGCACAGGGGGACCCTGCACTGGGAGCAGCAGCTGGAGGTTTCTGTACATGGGAAGGGAATTCCCAGAGCACTCCAGCCTCCACACAGGAGAATATTCCTCAGTCTCCAGCAACAATTTGCTTTGGGATTTATGTTTTTGCAGCTCATCTGGCTGTGAGGATGACCTGAAAATGTGAAGCAAGTGCATCAGCTCTAATGTTATCTTGCAAGAAAACCCCAAACCACCCCCAAATCCCAGTCCCAAAAACAAGCTTTCTGCAGGAGTTTCTAAAAGACATTTTGCAAGTTGATCTCCACCCTGATTCTTCTCACAGAGAAATTTGTTGAGAACATGAAGATGATTGTTTAACATCCCCATAGTCTAACATATTTCTTTCCTAGTCCAAGCTACTTTCTCCGTGTCACCAAGCCTGAGCTTTCAGCAACACAAACCTCCTGTTTCTTGCCTGGCAGTTTCTGGGATGGGGCATCAGGAATGCATTTACTTGAGTGTCAGTGGCACTGCAGAGATGACCTTGATGTAAGAATCCTCTGAAATAACACAGGCAAACCACACTGACTCTGGAAAATGGCCTGTAAAGCTGGTGTCCCCATTTGGAGAAGCAAAATGTGCTATTTCTGATGGAGGTTCCTACTGACAGAGTCAGCCAATGAAACTGGCTCTCAAGGCGAGATCATTTGGATGTTGCCGTGGCTGTGGCAGCCCCAGGGTTCGGGTTTTTTGGTTGGCATAGCAAAATGAGCTCTGAGCAGCATCTGTGGCAGGGAGGAAGGTGCCCCTGGAGCTGGGGCTGAGGCCCCGGGGTGGATGTGAGCCCGTGTGGGTGTGAAGGGAGCTGGCAGAGCGCTGAGTTTGCTTTCCCTGCAGGCTCGCGCTCTGATCTGGCAGAACGGGACCCCGCAGCTGCAGGAGCCCCGGTGCCTGTCGGCTCTGCTGCGGGACTGCCTCGAGTGCAGCCTGGAGCCGGACGAGGAGCGGCGCTGGGCTGCCCAGGAGCTGCTGCAGCTGAGGGCCAGGGGCTGCAGGGGAAGCAGCAGCGCCAGGGAGTGGTTTTCTTGTGGGGCCCCCTCCGACAGTCTCCAGTCTGGCTGCGTTCCACACGCAGAGCAAGCAGAATCCTCACGTGCTGTGGCTTGGCAGCTCCTTTGGAGCTCATCTGGGCCTGGTGCCCCACAGCGAGCAGGGACATCATC